CTCAAGGGGTTAAAGCCAGCACTCGGAAGCTACCACCAGCACTGCAGCAGGAGTTCGATCCCCCCAGGGCGCAGCAGCCTCTCCTGTCTCCCGCTGCCCCTCAGCAGTGTGTTTCAGTGGACCCCCCTGTTCTGCTCCCCACTCTGTCTCTGGGGAATCCTCTCACCTCCCTCACTTTTGGCCTATACCCCGGTTCTTCTCTGCATAAATAAATAAATCTTAAGAAAAGAATGAAAGAATGGGCTCTGCGACGGAGAAACCAGTGACTTTGCTCCAGGAAGCAGCAAGACTCAGAAACAAGTTGCGGAACGGGTTGGGCCTCCGGCGCCCTCCCCCGGGCTCCGGGCTGCACGCGTCCAACAGGAGGCCAAGACTGCCACCTGGTGGTAGGCCGTGGAATCTCGTCTTCCTCGAGGTGGTCTCCAGCCACCTTTTTTGTTTTGCACACTTCGCATATTTTCGGTTCCGATTTCTAGCCCCAAAAGTACCGCTGAGTAGCAAGAACTTAGCCACAGGGGTTCCTTTCGGGAACGTCAGGCTTCCAGTTGCTCAAGACCCAGTCCCCAGAAAGGCGCCCCTCTGCTCTGCCGCAGAGGAGTTGCGAGCGACCCGGACGTTTCCATCTTTCTTCTTCCCGGTACGGACTAGCGGGGCCTGGGGCCCCGCCCACTCTCCTGGTTTCCCTGGCAACCGCCCGCCCGCCGGGCGCCCCGCTCGCGTGTTACCCTGGCAACCTCGGACCCACCTCCTTCGAGGTCCTGACTGATGGATAGTAAATGTCCGTCCCGCCGCAGGGAGGCTTCGGGGTTTGCAGCCGAGAGCTGCCCGGAGAGAGGCCGGCCGTGTCCACGCGGCGGGGACGCGGTCTCCAGGCCTGGCGGAGGGAGGCGGCGCCAGTGCAGCCTCCGGCTGGGGCTGTGTTCCGTGCTCAGGAAGAACTGCGAGTGCGGGGAGGCAGCGGCCCAGGCTCGAGGCCGGAGACTCCCGGCTGCAGAAGTGCTTCCCCTGGTGGGGAGCCGCGTCCGGAGCTGGGCGCGCGGCCCGCACCCCACCGCGCAGCCCACCCGCAAACCGCGCGCACACTCCTAGCCCACCTCCTCCTCCCTTTTCCTCCGAAAGGCCTATTTTTAGGGCCAGGGCTCCCTGCACCGCTGGTCTTGCCAGGGCTGGAGGGCCGGGTCGTTGAGAAGCAGCTGAGGGGAGAGGGCTTCCCTTCCGGGGGGCTGCCCCTCCGCACCCCCAAACCTCGGGAATGTGGGCTGGGCGCCGTGCACCCTTTCCTGGCGGTGCCGCAGACCCCGAAGCCCCAGAGAGGGCTTGATGCTAATTACCCCTTCCCCCATGACTTTCTAACCGGCAGTTATCCTGCGGGTGGGTCAGCGCTGTGAACCCCAGGGCTCCCAGTGACGTAGGAGGCTGGAGGAGGGGGCGAGGGGGCGGAAGAGTGTGTTTGGATCTGGGTGGGAGACGACTGGCTTCTCCAAGAAGCACTTGGAAGACCGTCTTCCTTGGCTTCTGGCTTCTCTGAAGACCCCCTGGCCCCGGCTCCCCCGCCCCACCTCTTACTGCTGCCTGGGGAGGCCGGCCCTGCATAGCTCCCCTGTATTGGGGTGCAGTTTCATCTCCCTGTGGGAAAAAGTCCCAGCACAAGGTCTAACTTCTCGGGGGAGTTGAGATCACTGGTGAATGTGCTGACCCAGGAGGTGACAGAGCTGATGGGGGCTGTTACACGTGGGGCGCTGCTGGGGGGCAGGGGAGAACTGCAGGCTGCAGGGGGGGCGTTCGGGGGAACCTAGTCAGTGAAAGAGAGCCCAGACCAGTGAAGGTCAAGGCTGCTGCCTGCTGAAGTCAGAGCGAATGGCTCATTCTACCTGGGGGTGGGGACCAAACTTCAGCCACAAGGGCAGGACAAACCAGTCTAGGTGCTGGCTGGGGGTGCCAGACACTCCCCCTCTCCCACTTACTCATAGCCCCTGAGCTTCAAGCTCCCCCTCACCTCAGGGGTTCACTGTCACAGCCCTCACCTTGCTGTGAGTTTCATCAGCGCCCACAGACACATCACCTTGCAGGCAGAGCCATGCCCCAGTGCCAGCGTGGACAGGCTGGTGGGCGGGGGGTGGAGGGAGGGAGGGATGGTGGATGAATTCTTCCTTGGCCCCTGTCTAGATCTCCGTCTCAGCCTTAGGGAACAAAATCCCCAGCCACCCTAGCACCCCCCTTTTCTTAGTCCTCCCATGTTCATCTCTCCTCCACCCCAGGAGAAACCTGAGGCCTGTGGGTCTGACTCTGCCCGCTGTGCTCTGGCTGGCCCTGGGCCAGAACCACACAGGCCTGGTGAGGGTCTTTAAAGGAATGAGCTGGGGCTGCGCACCCAGCCGGGGGTCTCTGTCCCCGTGGGCTGAGACAGGAGCCAGGCAAGTGTGGGAAGAGGGACTGATGGGGGCAGAACCCTGAGGACAGACCTGTCTGTGGGGGTCAGGGGATGGGGCTCATACAGGAGCTGAACCTGGGGGCTGGAACTGGGACTCTGGGCTGAGACCAAGGGAGCCTCAGGTGGGGTGGAGTTCGGTACTCTGAGGTACTCCTCATAGCAAGATCACTTTAATTCCCGTAATTCTAAAAACAGCGGTTTAACCTTTTTATTTCTTTATTAAAAAATGTATTTCTTTTTATATTTATGTGTACAGAAACTGGGGTACAGGCCACATGTGCAGTAGGTGAGAGGACTCACCAGACAAGAATGGGGAGCAGAACAGGCAGATCGACTGAAATCCACTGCGGAGGGAGCAGGGGGAGCCCTGTGGGTCACTCACTCCCTGGCCGGGGCTCGAACTCGGGCCCTCGTAGGAACCTCTTGTGCCACTAGGGGGAGCCCTATTTCCCAAATACTTAAAAACCCAGTCCTTTTTTAAGCTTCTCCCCCTGGAATTGAGAGCCTGTCCCGAGGCCACCTTGGCCCGGCCCGGGCGGAATCCATTCTTTTTTCTTTGTCCTCTCCGGGAGGAGGCGCCCTCCCGCCCGCCCTCCCTCCCTCCCTCCCTCAGCGTGGAGGCCTCTGCCCCGCAGGCCGGGTCTGCCCCGGCCCAGCGCGGGCCTGGCGGGCTGTGGCGGCCGGACCGACGGACGCTCCTTTCCTCTGCCCGCCTCTCGCTCGCCCTCCGCGGCCTGCCTGCTGGGGTACTCGGAGAGTGGGGTGCGGAGGGGGCTCGGCGACCTGGCTTCATGGCCCAAGGGCACCGACTGCCCCCTGGGAAGGTGTGGTCTGGGATTCTGGTCCCCGCCGGCCCACACCTTCCTCCTCGGCCCGCAGTTTCTTTCCTCCTTTGGGGGGCGCACGCGGAACCTCGAAGGACAGTGGGAACCCAAGGGGTAGGGCCCAGGCTGGTCCCATCCTTGACCTGTTGACAAGATCCTTCTGGGCAAAAGGCACCCAGGGGAGGGGGCAGTTTCTGTCCACCTTTGCCTCCTGGCCCAACCCCTCTGGGAGAAGACGTCGGCTAGTTCAGGGTGGGGGGCCCCAGGGCTCAACCTGCCGTGTACTCCCCGATCCCCGAGAGGTGCGAGCCAAGCGCTTGCCGACCTCTTGCCGACGCCACGCGAGCGCGCGGGCGGGCGGGTCTGGAGGTGGCCGGCGGCCTGTTCCGGGGGAGCGCGCCCTTCCCTTCCGCGGTGGAGAAGCCACAGAGGGGGGCCCGAGGCGCCCCCCGGAACGCGCGAGCGGGCCCCAGCACGCGAGCCCGGGACTTTCAGGAAG